AAAAAAAAAAAAAAAAAAAAAAAAAAAGAACCAGGAATTATGTTAGACACACCAGAGAAGAGAAAATAAGTCAGAGTATTCTCCAATTGGTTTGATTCCCATAGTCTCCCTTGAACTGATCAGAACACAAAATTCCAGACATATCTGTACCTTTTGAAGCTCTTGTTCCCAATTTACCAGTTGAGACACTGACTCCATCTTCCTTCTGTGTTGAGAGAACCCTGGTGCCAAGGCTCCCAGGCCCAGTCCAGCACAGCTTTTAGTGACCATACCTTATGTGGAAGGCACTGAGCTGGCTGCATGGTCCTTAGATTCAAGGAATTTTTAACCCAACTACTTGAGCTAGGGCTACCAAATAAAATGCTGCAGCCTGAGCAACAATTTGAACAAAAAGAAATTTATTTTCTCATTATTCTGATTGCTGGAAGTCTGAGATCAAGATGCCAGCAAAGTTGATTTCTTCTGAGACCTCTCTCCTTGGCTTGCAGACTGTTACTTCTCCAGGCATCTTCACATGGTCCTTCCTCTATACCTATATCCAAAGTTCCTCTTCCTATAAGGATACCAGTCATATTGGATTGGGGACTATATTAATGCCTCCATTTAATCTTAACTAATTCTTTTAAGGCTTTGTCTCTGGATGTAGTCATGTTCTGAAGCATTAAGAGTTAGATTTTGGAGGGACATGAATCACTCCATAACTCACACGTGATTATGGAGACTTGGCAAGTCCAAAATCTTCAAGGCAGACCAGCAGGCTGGAGATACAAGGAAAGCTGTAAATTTGAGTCCAGAGGTAGTGCATTGGCAGGATTCCCTCTTCTGGGAAATTCAGTCTTTTTAAAATTAAGGTCTTCAGGGCTGGGGATTTAGCTCAGTGGTTCTGCCGCCTGCCTCTCAAGTACTAGGACCCGAGTTCAATCCCTGGTACCAAAAAGTAAAAAATAAAATTAAGATCTTCAACCAATTGTGTGAAGCCTGCCCACATTATGGAGAGCCACCCACTCTACTCAAAGTCTACTGATTTAAATACTGAAATTATCTAAAAAGATACACTTATAGAAACATCTAGGACTGACCAAAGTCCTTCACCTAGCCACAGTGGCACATAAAGTCAACCATGGAAGTCCTGATGATTAGCACCTGATTAGCACCCCTTCTATGCCACAGTCACTCATTCAGAAGGAGTAGAAAAGTCCGATCATCTGGCACTGGGAAACCAATCAACTCTGGCTCAGATTGTCTAGTAACCAAGTCTATAGTAATTATCCTATCTCATGTCAGTTCTGTAATCTCAAACCTGAACTATAAGGTCAGAATTCAAGCCTTTCACAAACTATCCTTCCCTTTTGTATTTGACTTTCTTGTTTTCTCATTGTTTCCTACCACAGTATTCAGTATAGCCAAGCTAGCCTGCTTCTGATCCTCCCCAGGAAGGGTTTTTTCAGCTAAGCTTCTACTTCTATTTGACATACTCTTCTTTTGCTTCACAAATCTGCACATCAACTCTGTCTCAGAGTCTGGCTCAAAACAGCCTTATTCTCCCACCATTTTCACCTGATCACCCCCTTTCTATCTTTGCTCCTGCGTTAACATATCTTTCTTCTTTTGAGTGTTTTACAGCCTTGTTTTGCATGCATGTGTATGTGTACATGTGTGCATGTATGTGTGTGTGTGTGTGTGTGTGTGTGAGAGAGAGAGAGAGAGAGATCTGTCATAAAGACCACATATTACAATAGTACTGTTTTCTCTTTCTAGTTTATCCCCCATTTCTGTTCAGGTCCATGGCATTTTGCCTATGATGATTTTGCAATAGCAGTTGCAAAGCAACTCATTCTAACTCACTCCAGACAGTGGACATGTATCTGGTGTGTTTCCACAAGTCTGAGCAATCTACTCAAAGTCAGACATCCAGTCCCTAGACATCTGGGTACCCCACCTCCAGAGTAGTCTTTAGGAGGTTGGTGGGCAAAAGGACATAGTGGACTGTGAGACAATCACCACGCCCATTGTTGCCAGCACAAGACACAAAAGTCCTAAACTGTTTGCTAGGAACTTTTTCTGGCACTAAAATTGCTTTTAAAAAAAATCTGCCCCCCTCCTCCCCCTGAAGAAATAGAATTTAAATTCAAACAGCCTTTACCTGCATCCTCCCTCTCTCATTACCTCCCAGTTAGTGCTCAACACCAATTGTCCATGAAATTCCACTGCTGCTGTTAATGAAATGAGGAACATAAGAAGTTTGTGAACAGGAAGTATCCATGCAAAGCTCCACCTGTTTCCTTCTTCACTTCCTACTTTCCACCGCCAGCCTCCTCTGCCATATCGTGCTCAGTTAGCTTCTATATTGATTCTGGCTTTCTCATTTCCTCCCCCAGATAATAGAGAGGGGAAGGAGGAAAAGGCCTGCAGTGAACATTTTGCTGTTGGGTCTCTCTCATTCTGGCTGCATATTGGAAGGAGCACCAGATTCTGGCCCTACCTCTATCACTATTTATTCAGAAGAACTTGGACTTAACTTCTTACACTTCTATCTAATTTATCTGAAATTGAGGCTGTTAAACTTACTCTATCCATATCACAGAGTATATGAGATCAAAATGAAGCAACGTATTTTATAGCATTTTGAAAAGCAAGTAATAGATCACAAAATAAATAAAAGACCTATCTGCTTATCAACATATGAATTCTTGTAGTCAGTCTTTAGTATGGGGTCTGACTTCTAGCTACCTCTACCAGAATCCAGTTATGGTCAGTGGTTCTCTCCAGCAATGCAAATATAAGTATATTAGGCCCAGCCACTAAGTGGATGCCTGCTGTTCCATACCAAGTGGCTCTGATCTCCACTGGCAGCAAAGAACTTACTCTGAGCCTCAGGGTCAGTCTGCAGCCCGAAGCAATGACATTATTAACATGAGATACTGCAGACCTCCTCCTGGAATAGTGCTTTACGCCTCGGAAGGAACACGGTCGCCAGCAGCCCTTATTTACAGAGCAGCTTTAGCTCAGCCCCTCCAAATGTTTACACATTCCATGGTTCCTGTTTCATAGAGGAAGGAAACTGAGGAACAGAGCAAAATGGGATTCTCCCAGCTGTGAATACTCCTACCATCTGCTGCTTTCCAGAATGTAGGAGGTAGTTATAAGGTAGTTTCAGCAGTCACTGAGAAATCACAGCTCTAGTTCTGGGGACTCCACTGGTATCTAGAATTCAGAGATAATTATCCAGGTAACTTTCAGTTCATCATAAGATGTCAAGATAACTTTTGAGGGCCACCAGGACCACCTCCTGAAGCTTCCCTCGCTTTTTGTATGTATTGCAAATAACCAAGTGCTGGGGCTCAAACCTAGAGCCTCACACATGGTACGTAAGCACTCAACTACTGAGCTACATCCCTAGCCACTGGTATCTCCTTTTCTTACAGAGATAATCCTTACCACCTTCTGTAGTCGTCTCAAAGGAGCAGGACCCATGGTGGTAAAAGAAGCTGAGCTTCTCAACTCTCAAATATTGATGACATAGCAAGTTGCCTGCGTCCTAACTGAATCTGGGTGGTCAGAACCAGAGAGCAAAGGAAAGAAGGCCGTGAAGGGAGCCAGCAGGAAACATGCAGATGGAGTTAGTCATTCTCCCAGCTCAGGCTCAAGGCTCCCCCAAATCCTGTCACTTCTCAGAGATCCAATTATGCATGTACGGCAAGGTTAGCAGAAGCAGAAAGAGTTAAATTTTACCATACCCTGTGGCTCTGAGGCTCCTAGAATACTCCACAGCTTGCTTTTAAGGCAGAGAGTCCCTCTACCAATCACTGGATGGTGGATGGCTATTGCATCTCAGAGATCCCAGTTTTTTCCCCACTAACAGCCCCAACTTCTTCCCTGAGGCCCCATCTTGTCATCTCCCTGTCAAGCGCAATCTAAATTCCCTTTTCCCCAGCTCAGATTCCACCTCAGCAGCCAAAACGTCTCAGGCCTGAGTTATTTACCTGCCGAGACAGTAAGAGCTTCATAATTAGCTGAGCACCAGCATGGAGGCTTTTATGAGCTGCCACACCCCCCACCACACTCTGGTGTCCGTAATTGAAATGACCCACACCAGTGATTAGATTAGGGGGCTGAAGAAGCCCAGCATGCCACCCCTAGCCCCCTCCCCTGGCTGTTGGGGAGGTGATGTAGTTAAGTTTGTGCTTCATTTGGCAGAGGCCATAAAGCAGGAATTGCAGCAGGGCTTTCTGCAGGAGCTAGAAGGCACTGCTGGGTGGTGGGCAGGCTCCGTGGCAAGCAACAGACTCCAGGTTTGTGGGAGGAGGCTGGTGCTCCCCTTTTCTTGCTTTTTCTACCTCTCCTCCAGCCTAGTGTTAGGCTCCAAAGACAGGGGGCCCACAGGGGCCTAGAAGGATGATCATCCCTCCTGGAGAACAGGCTGCATGTGGATTGCCAGCCTATGATCAGTCCCTACTCCTGGTTACCTGCTTATCCTCTTTGGAAAGCACCAGGCTGAGAGAGGCAAAGCAAGTGCTGTTGACAATTATTTTCTCCCATTTCCCTGCCCAATCTTGGCTTCCAGTTCTCTGGACAGTTTAATTTTTCTTTTCTCCCCCAGGCCCATCCTCCTGCAGCCTTCTCCCCAACACACCCATTGAGCACGGAGGCCAAATTTGGCCTCATTGTGCAATAGGTGAAGCTTGTCTAAGTTTCTTCCTGCTCTTTCCTCTTCCCCAGCCACATCTATACAGCCACTTGTGTCACCACTCTGCCCAAAGGACCCTTCACTGCTGTGCTCTTTTTTTCTCCAAAACTAACTTTCCAAACTCTGCACAAAACAAATCTGACCTGTTCCTCCTGTTCCACTTTCTACACAGTCAGTTATTGGTAACACC